AAAAAAAAAACTAAAAATAGAAATATGATTTTGATCCAGCAATCCCATCCCTGGGCATATCGCCAAAGAATATCAATCCATCAACACAAAACCCCTATGTTCCACAATGTTCATAGCAGCATTATTTACAATAGCTAGGACATGTAAGCAGCCTAAATGTCTATTGATAGACTACTGAATCAAGAACATACCACAGAGTACTATTTAGCCATAAGAAAGAATGAAGTGCACCCATTTAAAGAAAATCGAGGGTGTTTGAGAATTACATGTAGCAAAGTAAGTCAGAATGATAAAATAAATATAATTTACATAGCAGACAATTTGACAACATAAAATACTTTAAAAAACCAGTGAGCTTTAATAAATATTCTGGGGGCTCTGAGGTTAAGAGGGGAGGAAAGGAGGAGGGGATATAAATGGCAGTGATGGAGAAAAAAGTTTTAGTATTATCAGTAAAGCTGGAGATAATATTCTAGCTAGGACCAATTACTGGTTACCTACAGAATGGTTATTGCTATGATGTTGTGAACTAATAAAAAAATAAGTCTTTCCGCTACATTCCATTTATCTTCTACGTGAGAATAGGAAGCAGTAATCTGTTATATTTGCACCTATTTTTCTTAGCTTTCTGTTTGTGAAGTTTTCCTTATTGAATGTTTTTTTTTAAAAAAAAATAGTTGTTTCTTCTGAACTCTGCTAACACTTTATTTAGAGCTCTATTATGATACATATCCTATTATAATAGTCTAGATTAAAAACTCTTGAAGAAAGGAAATCTGTCATTATTTTCCAGATAAAGGGAGAACTAGTTCAGCTGACAATAGAATGTAAAAAGGAACTGAAAATTAAATCAGAAAGTAAAACTTGCAAAATGTATTGACTCACAAAAACAGAAAAAATGAACCAAACCATCATATACAAGGCAAACTAATTTCAGACTCTTTACAGCAATTCATTCAGACCCAGGGTGTTTTAAACAAGACCACAGAAAAACAAACAGTGCCTGGAATGTCCTAAGTGCCATGCAAATAAGTTTTTTTTAAAGATTTATTTATTTATGCATACAAGAACTGGGGTACAGGCCAGAGGTGCGGGAGGGTGAGAGGATTCACCAGAGACAGAGTGGGGAGCAGAACAGGCAGACTGAGTGAAATACACTGCTGAGGGGAGGAGTGGGTGAGACAGGAGAGGTCTGCTGTGCCATGTGGGCATCTTCTTGGCCAGCTGGGCCAGGATGGAACTCGTGCTATAGAGGCTCCAGACAGCCTCATAGTTAACCTTGCACCACCAGGGAGGCCCAACAAATAAGTTTAATTAAACAAAACTCTAACCCTCCTTTCTGCTTTCAGTACTTTATGACTTAATGAGAACCTGTAGAAAGCTGATGATCTGCACTGATTCTAACTTCATCTTTAACTCAGTTTGCTCATCTGTGCCTCAGTTTGCCTATCTGCACAATGGGGACAAGTAATGACACCTCATTATATAAATGAGTTATTGTAGAGATTTAATACATACAGTACGTAGGATACTGTCTGCACAGAGAAACACTATGTGTTAGCATTACATGTTACTGAAGTTCACATAGGCCCATACTGAAAAACTCTAAAATATGTTTAATACTACTTATAGTATAGGGCACTGATCTTAGTAGCAAAGCCCATACCACAATAACGGAGCTGAATTTTTAAACCTTCAATCAGTCATTCAAAAAAGCAAAGTAATTGCCATACACCACTATAAAATTGACCCTTTTCCTTGACCGTTTTCTCCTTTCCTTTCTGATAACCACTCCTTTGTTCTTATAGTCAGTTTGCTTTGTTCTTTTATTTATGTATCACATATGAGTGAAATCATAAGGGATTTATATCTGATTTATTTCACTTAATATACTCTAGGTACATCCATGTTGTTGAAAATGGCAGTTATTCATGTTTTTTACACTTGAGTAGTATTCTATTACCTATATGCATAGAAACTAGACTTTTGGTGGTGAACAGTGTATATGTAGATGTTGATTTATAAGACCATATATGTGAAATCTGTACGATATTATAAATCAATGTTACTTCAATTTAAAAAGGAAGCAAAATGGTGAGGTCTGAGAATAGAAAAACTTCCTAGTCACTCACTGCACAGCCTACTAAATGGACCGCAATACCAGATTGAAATTTAAAAAAAAAACAGCCTAAATTTGTATCTATGAAGGCAATTAATTGAATTTATTTTCAGTAACTCTTTCTGCATTTTCCATAATAAATGTAAGAAGGAGAGGAGGAAAATTCAAACTGATCACAGAGTTGATTGGAAGAAAGTTCTATATGGGAAAAGATACAGTTAATCCCAGTCTACCTGGAGTAGACCATTTGTTTTGACAAATATATAAGAGGAGGAAGTTGTAAGTGGAGTGAGGTCCTGGGATTGGAAAAATCAGGACCCCAAGCATAATTTTTAAGATGAGGAGTATCTAGTATTTAGAAATAAAGGATTCTCGGCAGGACCTGGAGCAAGGGTATGTCCAGTGGCAGTCTTAATAGTCATTGAATGACATGGGGACATTGTAGGACACGAGTTTAAGGGTGCTAGAAATGAAATTCTAGTATAGATGTGGTAATAAGTATTACTGGAATCTGCTTTGAGAAGAGATTGTGATTCTCCAATGAGAGAGGATGGGAGAAATGGGAGATTTCACTATGAGAAAAGCAGAGGCTGCTGTGAGGAGACGAGATAATATGAAGACTCCACTGTGAATTGAAAAGATTCTAAGGCCAATAGTGATAAGAATGGGGGATTATGGGTAATCCAAGTGATGAAAATACAGGATAGTCTTGTGGATGAATCCAGAAGTATCATGGACTTTTGAGTTTGAAAGTGGAAAATACACTGTGGGAACCATCTTATAGATTAGGAGGGGATGGAATGCTCCCTGCTGTGACAGGGCAGGGTACAAAAGGGTACTCTAGAGTTATAAAATGGTGGTCTAATGAGAAGGAACAAGAAATAAAGCTCCCATTGGTAGGGGCAGGAAATATTAGAAATTCCAGGAAAGTTTCTAATGGGAAACGATGGTGTTTCTCTAGTTTGAGAAGAGAGGGACAAGTGCAATCCCAGAGGGAAGTAAAATAAAATAGGAAAAGGATGCAAAATGTGGGGCTAATGGTGGAAGAGGATAGCAGGAGGAGAGGAGTGGTTTCAAAAAAGATAACAAGGAAGGTCATAATTAGAAAAGTAGTGGCCCTTGCAAAGTTATGAGGGAGTTAACTGAAAAATAAAGTCTCAAAAATAGTTAAGAGTTTATTAGATAAAGTGAGGATTTGAATCTTGGGAAGCTGAATAGCAGATTTTACACTATGTGAACTGTTCCCAAAAAGCCTAAGTTTGAATTTAGTTTATATAGCCAGAAACAGTGAGTCATCAACACCAAGAAACCATTCTTGATAGGAGGGGGCTTCTGACCTAAATTGTCCCATGTGAAGATAAGCTCGTGCTAGAGGAAGGCAATGCAGCATCCAAACTCCTGCCCTGGAAGAACACCCTGCAGAGATGCCAAAGCTGGGTACCCATTGTTTAAATCTTCATCCAAGTGCCTCAGTCAAGGCGGGGCGGGGGAGGGGGGGTGCTGAAAGTCTTGAAAGGCTGGTTTACCTGCAGGCAGCCTATAAAGATGGTTTGTTAATTTGTCTGTCAGACCAGGAGTGGAATATGCAGAAAATTTTACATTATGCTTATACTCTTAAGTGTGAGAAGAGAGTGTACAAGGGCAGGACCATAGTGTTATAAAGGTAAGTTAACTAGCGTTAGGTGTAAAAAAATAATGTGTGTCCTCTAATGGGAAGGACTGAATGCTCCACAAAACAGGACTGGGGGTTCTAGTGTGAGTGCACAGAACACGGTGGAATATGGGACTCCCATTCCATTGGAGAAGATGAGAAATTGCTGAGGCTCACAGCGAAAGGGAAAGGAGGGCTTAGCACTTGTAACAAGGGAAGACTTAAATAGGCTAGAACAAGGTGTATTATGGAGTCCCAATTGGGAGAGTATGTGAAGCACTTCAGCCAGTGTGAGAGGGTCACAGAAAAAAGATGACTCCCAATGTCAGGAAAAAGGAGAGCTAGTACAAGAAATACCCTGGAATTTCTAGTAAAAGGGAATGGGAAAATGCGGGCTCCTAATTAAGATGCGTTCTTGGGCTTCACAGTGGAATCAGACTGTTTAAGGATACCAGGTAATTGGTTAAGGTGGGAGGCCCCGGGAGGAGACAAGGCACACGTGGTTGTCCGGTACGAGAAAAGGGAGCCCTAGCGGGAAGAGGCAGGAAATTCTTGTGGGCAGGGCCAGGAAAGAATGTAAGAAACCTTAGGTGGGAAGCGTTGGCGCCATGGTGGGACCCTCCTGGAGATCTTAAAAAATATGGTTGGAAGTCAGAGATTGGAGAGCGGGAGATTCACCCAGAGCTAAAGGAAAACCGCAGTGTGAGGGCTAAGAACACAGGGGACACAGTGTGGCTAGGACAGACGATTATGCTGGAGCATAACTTCCCCCATCTCAGGGGCCCAGCTCCACTTACCCAGGCAGAGTTCAAAGACGTAGGCATAGTAGGACCAGAGCACGACGAGGACGATAACGAGCACTGGCACCCAGGAAAGTACCCGGCGGCAGCAGCGCAGACCCCCAGACAGAGTCATCTTCCAGCCCCGCCGCATCTTCGACTCGAAGATCGACCAAGCACGCCTGCTGGCGCTGGGTCGGAACTGCCGGGGCGGCTGCGGGGAGGCGGGAAGGCGCGCCGTGCGGCGCTCCACTGCCTAGCCTGGCGGGAGCCTCCTCGCGGAGCCGGCACCACCTGTGGGGCTGCGGGGCCGGCGCGCCGGGCCCGGCACAATAGGCATGAGTCACGGCGTGGAGGAGCTGGCCCCGCGAGAGCGGAAGGTGACCCGCCAGGCAGGCGAAGCGGGCACGTTCCGCGGGAGAGCAGCCCCTCCCCTCGCCGCGCGCCCACCCCCTCGCTACGAGCAGGGCGCTGGGTGGGCCTCCGCAAAGCGGCGGAGCGGAAGAAACTTGGGCCCGCCCATCTGCTCCTGCAGCACTGCGTCCCCCTCACTTCCTCTCTGGTCTTTTTCTCTGTTTTCCCCGGGTCTGCCTATCGGCTCCCCAGCCCCCACAAGCCCATACGCAGCGTGAAGATGCGAGCCATGGCATCTCCTGACTTAAAGGTCATCCGCCCCATCCTCCCACTGCTGCTCGAACCGTATGCTTAACACGTAGGGCTGCAGTCGCTGCTTAGGTAAGTCCTTTCACAGGGCTCCTTCTCCTTCCCGCTTTTTTCCCTTCCCTCAGACTAAACAAACGTGTTGGTTCAGAAAAACCAATGGGGGAGATATTCGCTCTATGAGGGGGTCAGGAAAAGCTGCAAAGATAGTAATATGTAAGTTGAGTTTTAATAATAAGAGCGCCAGATGAGAGGGGAAGGACCTTTCAAAGGGAAGAAGCAGCGTTTGCAAAAGCACTAGTAATGAAAATCCAAATGTGTTCAAGGAACAGTTAGCATGCCTCGAGGAGACGTTGTGTGAAAAGGAGAGACTGAGAGACTGGCAGTCTAGGTGGAGGACAGCAGTGAAGGTCTGTTTGTGCCCTGCCAGTGTGTGTGGACATAATCCTGTAAAGCACATTATGACTCCCGTAAAGCCGACTTTGGAGGCAATGAAATGACATTATCAGAGACGTATTTTTGTAAAAGAACTGGCAGGATTTTGGAGAGGAGACTGGTCTGGAAGCAGAAAGACCAGTTAGGATGTAATTTAATTCAGCTTGTTTTTGGAGTGGTTGTTTTTAAGTCAACTTTGGTATAAAAAGAACAGCAAAACAGGGACCTGTCCCGAAGAAAATCATGTTTTCATTAGGCCAGGAGATGTTCAGTGACATAAGTAAAATAATAGAAGTATAGTAGACTTAACATTTGTGAATCTGATGTTGAATGATGTCCAAAGACCTATGACATGAAGAAATTTGTGATTTTTTCTTAGACCCATGTTCGATTCAAATTTGGTGTGACTGCATTGTGGGGGCAAGGATTTCAACAAGGTTGCTCTCATGTACCTTTAAAAATTCACCCACTCACCCCCAAACCGGTAATAAGTATCATTTTACTTTCTGCTTTTATGATTTCCATTTTTTTAGATTCCACATGTAAGTGATATATTTGTCATTCTCTGTCTGATTTATCTCACTTAGGATAATGTCCATCCATGTTGTTACAAATGGCAGAATTTCCTTTTTTCCTCATGACTGAATGGTATTACATTGTACACACACACGAATATATATATATATATATATTTATTTATTTGTTTATTTGTTTTGTTTATACATGCACTGGGTACAGTCAGAAGCACGGGAGGGTGAGAGAATTCACCAGAGCCAGAGCGGGGAGCAGAGCAGGCAGAAGGACCGAAGTACACTGCTGAGGGGAGCAGCGGGAGGCAGGAGAGGTCTGCGCGCCATGCGGGACCCTCCTCCGGTGGCCGGGGAGCAGCCGGGGATCGAACCGGCGCCGCAGAGGCCGCGGGCAGCTTCGCAACCCAGCGCTCAACCACTGCGCCACCGGGGAGGCCCTATATATATATATATATATATATATATATATATATATATATAAACATAGCTGTGAACAAAGCTTCAGTGAACATGGGAGTGCCTATGTGTCTTCTGTGACTTGTTTTCATTTCATTTGGATAGATACCCGGAAGTGTGATTACAGAATTGTATACTAGTTTTACTTTTGATTTTTTGAGGAATCTCCATACTGTTCTTCACAGTTACTGGAACAATTCATATTACCTCCCACGCTGAATAGGGGTCCTCTCTTCTTCACATTTTGCCAGCATTTGTTATCTCTTGTCTTTTTTATTTTTCCTATTCTTACAGGTGTGAGGTAATACCTGTAAGTTCTCATTTGTGTGTGGTGAAAACATGTAAGATCTACTCTTAATCAAATTTACAGTATCTAGTACAGTATTATTAGCTGTAGTCAACATGTTGTACATTTAAGCCCCATAACCTGTTTATCTTATAACTAAATTTATACCCTTTCACCAACATCTCACTCCTACCCCTAACCCCAACCATGATAGACACCTTTCTACTTCCTGCTTGAACTTCTGTCAATGTTATCATATTCCACATAACAGTGAGATCATACAATAAATATTTGTCCTTCTATGTCAATCATTTGTCTTTTCATTCTGTAGGTACAAACACATTGTTGCAAATGGCAGGATTTCATGGCTGAAAAATGGTGTTTATATATATTCACATATGTATACATATGTTCACATTTTCTTCATCTTTCAGTGGATACTAGATTGTTTCCATGTATTGACATTTGTGAATAACACTGCAATGAACATAGCAATGCATATATCTCTTTGAGATACATATTTCCGTTCCTTTGGATATATAACCAGAAGTGGAATACTGGACTCCGTGCTAGGTCTATTTTTAATTTTTGAGGAATCTCCATACTGTTTTCTATAAAGAAGGTACCAATTTACATTCCTATCAGCTGTGGACAAGATTCCCTTTTCTTCATTTTTGGACAACACTTGCTATCTTTAGTGATTTTGATACTTGACATCCTAAGATGTGAAATGGTAAATCACTGTAGTTTTGATTTGCATTTCTTTGAAAATTTTAGTTGAGCACATTTTTAATATAATACTGGCCATTTGTATGTCTTTTGGGGGAAAAAAAGCTTTTCAGGTCCTTTGTACATTTTTTAGTAATGGGTTTTTTTGCTATTGAATTAATTGTATGACTTTTTATATTTTTTGGATGCTAACTCATCAGATTTATGGTTTGCAAATATTTTTCTCATTCTAGGCATTTCCTTTTCGTTTGATCAATTACATCCTTTGCTTTGTAAAAACCTTTTTTTCAGTTTGATTTAATTCTGTGTGTTTATTTTTGCTTTGTTACCTTTGCTTTTGTTGGATACCAAAAACTCACTGTCAGGGAGCATTTTTCCTATTTATTTTATTTTATTTTTATTGATTTACAAGACCATGTACATTTCAGAGGTACATCTTCAACTCTATGTGGATATAAGCCTCACCTTATACATCACAGAAGTTCTAGTGCCCTTGCCACTATCTATTTGATGCCCTCTACCCTTCCATCCCACCCCTCCGGTAACCACCAAATTTTTCACAGAGTCTGTAGTTGTTTTGTTGTGATTTATTGGCTTTTTTCCTCTGATTTTCTTTATAGTCCACATTGAATAATTGCATTTCACTTTCTGACTTATTTTCATATAAGAGAATCACCTCAGTTGCCATTCCTGTTGTCACAAAAGACAAGATTTCGTCTTTTTTAGTGGCTGAGTAATATTTCATTGAGAATAAATACCATAACTTCTTTATGTAGTCATCTGTCAATGGGCATTTAGGTTGTTAGTTCTTACCTATTGGAACAAAGCTGCTATATACATAGGGATGCATCAATCTATTTGAACTAGTATTTTCATATTCTTTAGATAAATACTGAGGAAGGGTATTGCTAGGTCATATGATATTTCCATTTTCAGTTTTTTAAGGAAATGTTGAACTTTTTCTATAATTCACCAAATTACATTACTACCAACAATGAGCTAGAGTTCCTTTTCATCACACCCTCACTAACACATATTATTTCTAGGCTTTTTGATGTAGGCCATTATCACAGGTGTGTGGTGAAAGCTCATTGTGGTTTTGATTTTCATTTCCCTGTTAAGCTGAGCATTTATTCATGTGCTGTTAGCTATGTGTGTATCTTTTATATATATATATATATATATATAAAAGCACTGGGAGGGTGAGAGAATTCACCAGAGCCAAAGCGGGGAGCAGAACAGGCAGACTGACGAAATACGCTGCTGAGAGAAGCAGCGGGTGTGGCAGGAGAGGTCTGCGCACCATGTGGGAACCTCGCCAGCTGGCCGGGGATCAAACAGGTGCTGAAGAGGCTGCGGACAGTTTCGCAGCCCAGTGCTCAACCGCTGCGCCACAGGGGAAGCCCTGTGTGTGTATCTTATTTAGAAAAGTGTCTATTCAACTTCTCTGTGCATTTTTTCATTGAATTGTTTGGGGTTTTGTTATTGAATTACATGAGTTCCTTTTATATTTTGCATATTAAGGCCTTGTTGGATATATGATGAACAAATATTTCCTCCCAGTCTGCAGGTTTTCTTTTCATTTTTGTGATGGTATCTTTTGCTGTACAAGAGTTTTCTAGTTTGATGTAGTCCCATTTATTTACTTTTGCTTTTGTTTCTCTTACCACTGGAGTTCAGTCCCCAAAGACTTGATTGAAGTCAATGTCATGGAGTGTTTTGCCTTTTTTCTTCTAATTACTTTATGTTTTGAGATCTTACATCTGATGCTTTAATCCATTTTGAGTTATTTTTTATGTGTGTTGTGAGATAGTGTTCTAGTTTTATATCTTTGCATGTGGCTACCCAGTTTTCCCAGCACCATTTGTTGAAAAGGCTTTCCTTTGTCCATTGTATAATCCTGGCTCATTTGTCTAAAGGCTCTTGGAACAAATTTTTTGGCATTTCATGGTATGCTATTTTAATGAAGTAGACTTGGAGAAGCAGTGATTAATTGTTAAAGGCAATGTTTGAACTGGGTTTTGAATGATGAATGCGAGTTCACCAAGAAGATAAAAATTGGGAGCAAGGGTTAAGGTGGAAAAAGGAAATATGTGGTAGATTTGTAAAATATCACAGTGTGTTTGGGGGACTGCATACAGTATGGTCTTGCTGGGAGATATCAGAGTCTAATTAAAAGGTGATGGGGAGGAGGGGAGAGAGAAGAGAGCACAAATTAAGACTGTTTGGTGGGAAGAATCAGTAGAGCTTGTTGACCGTTTGGCAGTGGACGTGTGGTAAAGTCAAAAGTAACAATCACTTTTCTAGCTTCAATGGATGAAGCAGTGTTAGCCGCCATGATAGGGTCTATGGTGAAAAGAACAGTTTTAGTGGGGAAAGATGACTTTTGCTTTAAGACATGATGAGTTTTGTCTAAGTCCTTTTCTTTTATGGTAGCTTAGTCACCTATCAACTAGTCTGGGGCAGGGGGGTTATTATAAGGGTAGCTCATGTCCAGAATGGCATGGAGGGCCAAGATACAGAGAGACAGTTCACCAACTGGTTTTATAAATAAAGTTTTATTGGAACACATTCACATCCATTTGTTTACCTATAGTCTATGGATGCTTTTGCATTGTAATGCAATTATAAGACATTCA